GAAGGGGTGATGGGAGCGTGAACGATTGGCAGGTTCGTAACAATGCATGGCTTGCGGGAACGCGATGCTGCACGCGTAAGTGGAATGGGATGCGGTGGAAACCACCACACACAAATGGCTAAAATAGGTGTCACACGAAAGGGAGTTTTCAGTGCAAAGGGCGATTTGCTGCGTTAAGGGCGAGTTAAAAGCTTTCTAGAGTCAGGTTTGTGACCACGTTTCTCTCGAGATTTGACTGAACACCGAATTGGACAACAACTGAAGGTTACTTCAAGAAAATATAGTGGAATGGTTTCCAGTCAGGGTCACTAGTCAAGGGGATCTAGCTCCAAGCAGCAACGCGATTCCACCGTAACGCGTTGCAGCGCTGGGAAACAAGTGCGCTAGCGGAAAGAGCGGAGCTGTCTGAACTGCGCTTTTGTAAATCAACATAATCGAGGGTGTATATTAGGTAAGGTAAATGTACAAGCTAATTTGATCAATATCTCTCTAGATGATGAAGCTTTGCATAGCACTCACGATTGTCATTATGACCTAATACCTCATCATTTTTTACAATGAGATATACTTATAAACGAGAGACCCGAGCTCGCGACGTTTTCTTAGCGTATCCAGTACGCAAGTAGAAACATTTTTAGTTTGAAATTATCAAAATATTATTATTCTCATAACAGGTGTTGAAAAAAAGACACTGTATCTATGTACACATGCTATCCTCGTCAATCCTTGAAATTGCCAAGATGTGACCTGTGTGACGCGATGATTGCGCACTGCTGACGTCGACCAGGCCGCATCTGCTTGTCAACGCCACAACAATCAAGCGAGGGCCAGTCCACTAGTCTGCTTGTCTACGTTGTTGCCCTAAAATTCCCTCTATTGCGCGGAAGGGCTCCGTTCCGTGAAATTAGTCATGGTAACCAACGCGAACGCACCGCGCTTTTGCACAATGCTGCCGCGAAATCTGAATTGCTCAAATAGGCAGACCATCCGCAGCAGTTTCATAGTCTGCTCTCTGCATAGTCCTCCATTCTTAGGATCTGTCACTCGACAATCCACTTCGAAACGTATTCTTACGCGTTGCGCTATTTCTACCTCAATCCGTTGCCAGTCTGTTGCTGCCAACGTCTACGCGCGATTTTTGCCTGCGACGCAGCTGTTAAAACGGGAATCTGCCGCTAAGACGCGATCTAGTAGTACCACTGCCCGTTCCGGTGAACGCTCGTCGCCGTCTGACGCGCAATGACGACTGCTGGAATCAGCTCCGTTCGAGTCGGCGATTCGCAAATGCCGCGCGTACCGGAGACCATGGCGGCGTGGCAGTACTTCAAACACGGCGGCGGCGCTGATGCTCTCTCGGTGCGTTTCCCCCTGAATCATCCGAGGCTCTTTTGTTTCTAGTAGCAGTTGCTTTTCTGCGCCGAATCGGAGTCCTGAGCTTCCCTTTGCTTACGCCAGACATCCTTCATGAGCCCACGGGCATTCCATTTCGCTGCCATCGTCGCGCCGCGACAGAATTGGGGCCGACGTACCCACATCATGACCTGACTCACGATCATGATAAGTCATGATCTAAATCATGATCATGATAAATCATGATCTGACTCACGATCATGATAAGTCATGATCTAAATCATGATCATGATAAGTCAAAATCTGAATTATGATCATGACAAGTCATGATCTGAATCATAATCATGCTAAGTCATGATCTGATAAGTCATTATCTGAATCATGATCATGACAATTCATGATCTGAATTGTGATCATGATAAGTCATGATCTGACTCACGATCATGATAAGTCATTATCTAAATCTTGATCATGATAAGTCATGATCTGACTCACGATCATGATAAGTCATGATCTAAATCATGATCATGATAAGTCATTATCTGAATCATGATCATGACAAGTCATGATCTGAATCATGATCATGACAAGTCAATATCTGAATCATGATCATGACAAGTCATGATCTGAATCATGATCATGATAAGTCATGATCTGACTCACGATCATGATAAGTCATGATCAGTCATGATCTAAATCTTGATCATGATAAGTCATGATCTGACTCACGATCATGATAAGTCATGATCTAAATCATGATCATGATAAGTCATGATCTGAATTATGATCATGATAAGTCATGATCTGACTCATGATCATGATAAGTCATGATCAAAGTCATGGTCATGATAAGTCATGTTCTGACTCACGATCATGAAAAGTCATGATCTAAATCTTGATCATGATAAGTCATAATCTGACTCACGATCATGATAAGTCATGATCTAAATCTTGATCATGATAAGTCATGATCTGACTCACGATCATGATAAGTCATGATCTAAGTCATGATCATGATAGTAGTCATTATCTGAACCATGATCATGACAAGTCATGATCGGAAGCGTGCCGCTCCTTCGCTTGAATGACTTACGTAGGCTTCGCCAGTTAAATGCGCGCATCCCCGTGCCAAGGGCGAGGTGTTCGTGAGAGCTTGATTCAAGGCTTCCTATCATCTGTTGGCTGCTGCATTTCTCCCATCTCGCACCTTCTTCACCTCACCAATAAACGACAACATCCCCGTGCCCAACCCATGTGAAGGCGAGGTGCTGGTCCGCGTGCCCGCGGCGAGCAACTTCAACCTTAATGTTTTCTCCCCATCCCTCGCTCCTTCTCACCTCACGGCAGTTCAATAAAAACGTCCCCGTGCCCGCGCCGGGCAAGGGCGAGGTGCTGGTTCGCGTGCGCGCGGCGAGCATCAACCCGGGCGACTGGAAGGTGCAGTCGGGACTCATCCCCTTCCTGCCGCGTCGCTTCCCCGCCACTGCTGGTGAGGGCAGTTGTGCAATTCAGGCTTATCCCTTTCCTGCCTCTTTGACTCCCCGCCATCGTTGGTGACAGACAGCTGTGCAGGAACTCCCTTGTGGCGAGCGTGCTTGTCTCTTGGCTCAACGGTCCCTCTCTCCTCTGCTGACATGCAGTCGCTTTCCTGCTGCCTTGCTCGTATTTATCTGATTACTTTTTTTTCTCCTTGAACCGCGTTCCTCCATGCAGGGTACGACCTGGCAGGCGACGTGGTGGCAGTGGGGCCTGGCGTTACCAAGTACAGCGTGGGAGAGGCTGTTTTTGGAAGGGCTCCGTTCTATGTACGTTCTTAGGCCACGGTATCCTGCTATCACCTTGTCCTTCAGGCCTTCGCCACCGCGCTGCACCTCTCTCCACCACTCCATCTCATTCCTCGCTTCCGATCACTTGCCTTTTCTGACTGCCCATAGTTCGAAGCGCGACGTTTTCTCTATGCTCAACGCTCCCATGCACCCCCATGCGTTCTCCCATTCTCTTTTTTCCATCTCGTCCAATTTCTCAAAGATAGGTGCTCACTGCTCAAATCGCTCGTTCTGTGCTCTGGCACAGCACTCACTGCTCGATCAGCACGGCAGTGCCCACAAAACCTCCTCTCAGAAAATGGGCGCCCTGGCGCAGTATGCCACACCGGAAACGGAATCTTTGAGACTTGTCAGAAAATCACTTTCTACATACGCCCTGGCCCAGTACGCCATACTGGAAACTGCCGCCAGTGCGCACAAGCCCTCCTCACGTTACTCTTCCCATACCTCTTGTGTAATATCCGATTCTCTTCTCATTCCACTTCCCTCAGAAAATGGGCGGCCTGACTCAGTACGCCGTACTGGAAATTGCCCCAGCGCACGCAAGCCCTCCTTACCTTCATTCCCCATACCGCTTGTGTATTCTGTTGCTTTTTCCCTCTTGTGTTCTCTCAGAAAATGGGCGCCCTGGCACAATACGCCCTACTGGAAACTGCTGCCAGCGCACGCAAGCCCTCCTCCCTCACCTTCGAAACTGCTGCTGCTCTCCCCGTCGTCGGTCTCACTGCCCTGCAAGCCGTGAGGGACTGCGCTGGCCTGCCACTTCCTGCACCTGCACCCAAACTGAGTGCAGAGCATAACGGCAGCAACATCACTACTTCCGGTAGCAGGAGCAATGGCAGTGGGAGCAGGGCGAGGGTGCTGGTGGCGAATGCGTCGGGGGGAGTGGGGCATATGGCAGTGCAGCTGGCTAAGGCAGCAGGGGCACACGTGACTGCCACTGTCGGCGCTCGCAACCTCGCCTTTGCACGGAACGTGCTTGGAGCAGACGAGGTGTTTGATTACAACTCCGCTGCAGGGAAACAGCTCTTTTCTTTGCCGTCCCCATCCCCTGCGCCTGGTACCAGCTTCACTGCTGCTGCTGCTGCACAGGTTGCTTCATCTGCTGATCCACCTATCACTGAGCTGTATGATGCGGTGATTGATTTCTCCCCCAACAGCCTGGCCGTCTCTGCGGTGGACAGGGTTCTGCGTCCCCAAGGGAGGTGGGTGCATGTGGAGCTTCCGCTCTCTCTGCTCGCTCTGGGACTGTGGCGCCGCCTTGCTTGTCGCCCCAGGAAGCTGTGGCCTGTGATGATGGAGATGATGGACAGCAAGGGGGCTGATCTGGAGGTGCTGGGGAGGATGGCGGAGGAGGGGAAGGTGAGGGTGGTGGTGGAGAGCAGTGTGGCGTTTGAAGAGGCGAGAGAGGCGTGGCGGAGGAGCATGGGAGGGCATGTGACAGGCAAGGTGGTGGTTAGGATGGAGTGAAGGGCTATGCTACGATGATTACAGCTAGAGAAATTGGCTGCATGAATGTATTTCTTTATAGTATACTGTCATGCATTGGGTATCTATTACTAGGGTATTCTGTAGGGTATCCTGTTACTTTGAAGCATCTCATAAGGAGCACAAGCATATAACTGAAAAGCATGCATACAAACATTTCTGCACCACCGTACTCCCCTCTCACAAACACACTCCCCGCTAACCCACCCCACTCCCAATCCACTCCCCGCCCACCCGCTACCACCTACTACGTTCAGCCACCAGCCAAGAATCACGGCACTCTCCTTCACCCCTGTCGCCGCCAACACCAAATTGCTAGTCTTCGTGCCTACTAGCCTACTTGGCCACGGCCATGAGCTTCTTGAAGTTGGCCTTGGACGAGTAGAGCGTCTGCGGCTTCCAGTCGGCGGGAATGACCTTGTCGAGGGTGATCTTCTCCAGCGTGTGTCCCGCCGTCAGCCGAACGCTCACCGCCTTCTTCGCGCCCACAACCTCCTTCGCCTCCTTGCCCGTGATCCCCCAGATCGCCTTGCTGCCGTCGCGGGTCAGCTTCGCCCACTTCTTGCCGTCCGCGCTGATCTCGACCGCCTTGAGCGTACCGGGGCCGGCGAGACCCACCATCTGAATGTTGAAATGCTCCGCCGTCGAGTTGGCGCGCACGCGCACCGCGGATCCGAGGGTGGAATGGCAGTTGGTGCGCTTGTACGTGACGCCGACGGGGGCGGCGTCGGATCCCTGCACGATCTTGGACCACGACACGGGGGAGAGCGAGATCTGATTCTCCGTGGTCGTCGCGCCGATGACGCGGACCGTCACGGTCGCCTTGCCGCTGCGGCAGCGCTTCGTGTCGTTGGCGCAAATCACCTTGTAGCACGCGCCGCAGCGCTTGCCGAAGATGGCGGGAGGAAGCTTCACGGTGAGCCCCTTGCCGAAGTAGGGGTTGGCGGTGTAGTTTGCGTAATAGGCGCACGTGGAGTTCTTTCCTAGCACCGAGTTCTTGCTCTGCCTCGCCGTCGCCACCAGGGCAGGCGTGGTTGCGTTTGCAGACCCAATCGCGCCAGCAGAAACACCCTTAGCAATAGCAGTCGAGTTAGAAGGCGCAGTCGCGTTGGCAGGCGCAGTCGCGTTGGCGAGTTTCCCGGCGGCGGAGACGCACGCAGGGGCGGAAAGGAGCATTGCAGAGGCGATGACCACGACGAGGCAAGTGGCCTTAGCGGGTGTGTGGCCGGCTCGGAAGGAAGCCATTCTAGCTTATGTGTATTCAGACCTGGCTTAAACTGTCGAGATGGTGATAGAACAGCTTTCAAGATTGGAGGGTGAAGATGTTTGAAATTGGTGATGATTTGAGTGGCAGTGGTATCTCGCTTATAAACTTCACTTGCTCTTCATCGAGCGATGACACCGCGAGTCGCGGGCATATGACTTGGCTGTGTGTAGGTGGGTTTTGCGTCCGAGTCGCACGAGTTCCGTGAGATTGGTTGGGGTGTGGGGGGGGGTGTTGGATGGACATTGCTGCGGGTAATTGCGGTTTTTGTGCGGGAGCTGGCGAGGCGAGCAAGCGACGACCAGAGGCATCGCGATTCGCGAAGGATGGCAGACCGCGTTCACGGATTCACGAACGCGGATACTAATCGTGAAATGTCGCAAATAATAATTGTCACGGGGATTGCGAGTTTCCAGCGCACGCGACGGCGCGATATGCGCGAAAGTGACGGATGGTGCTACGATTGAATTTCATATACAGATGCTTGTTGTAATAATTGTATTATTGTTACACTCAAAGGTGGTGCACTCTTTGTTTTGCTCTCTTGTACTTCTTTCCCGACATTCTAGCTACCTCCTGTTACGAATAGTAATGAATGAAACATTACTGTGCACTCCTAACCGCAGCTAAGGGAAGCACGCAGTATCGAGAATGAATGCGAGGAGTCAGAAATTACTCGAAGCGACAGACGGTTAGGATGCATCTGGACCGTCGGAGCAGACGACATCGGGCAGCTGCAGGCAAGAGAAATTTGGCGGGAAAAGTTTCGTAACTGTACGCGCTGCACGGTTGGGGATGAATCTGAATAAGGGAATGTATAGTACATGGCTAGATAGGTCGATTCAAATTCCTTGTACTCATATTTATATGTATCGTTGTACTTGCATGTTTTAATCATCTCAAGCATTTTATATTCACTTTGCTATTGAGGTCAAGGGCCCACCACCACTTCTCAAGTGAGCCTTTCGAAGGTGAACCTTTGGCCGATCCCTTTTGATCGCAACATGGTATGAGAGCGACTCGGGAATCCTTTGCACTGCCACCTCCGAAATCTACGACATTCGGAAAGTGGCGTCCGGCACACGATCGCGTGTGAGAATGGCCGGAGGATCTGGTGGTCAGACCAATCTAACGGCTGAAGCGCAACCCAACCCGGCTGCGACGAGCGAGGAAACGACGACAATCAGGACCAAAGTCATCGCACAACTACTTCAGCGACTCACCAGCCTGGAGCAAGGGCTCCAAACATTGCGGAACGGCGACGCGGGAACCTCCTCGCAACCTTCTCAACTGGCCCCAAACGGCCAGAACGCCGCCCCGCACACTTTCTCCCTCGACACAAATGGTTCAACCCCCAAGACTCCCCGTCCCAGTGAAGAGGCAATTTTCTCAGCACGATCAAGGTTTCTCAGCATATAAAAAATAAAGACAAGTGTGTGCTTTGACGGCAGAGACTTCTATACCTGGAGCTTCGAGCTGGAGCTCCTGCTGCAGAACGCCCAAATCTTCCATTACTTCGACGGGAGTTACGCGGAGCCTGCTGAAGATACCGACGACGCCAGAGCAAGGTACTACAACGAGTCCCTGATGGCGTACGGTGTTCTTCTACGCAATATGTCGCCGGCGGAGCAGTTGAGCATTCGCTCATACAAGACGTCGCCTGCTCCAGCCCTCGACGCTTGGCGCCACTTAAACGGGGTATACCAGCCGAAGGACTCCGTTTCCTCAAGTCGACTGCTCTAGCAGCTACCGAAGACAAAAATGGCCATGTGGGAGAAGGTCAACAGCTACATCAATCGCTGCCGGAGCCTTTGCGACCAAATCGCGAAGCTGGGATGCTCGATATCAGAAGAAATCTTCGTCAACATCGTGCTTCAAGGGCTTGGCCCAGAGTGGCGGCCCTGCAAGGCGCTTCTCCGACAGCAGGGGGTCATCTCGGAGGCCGCCCTTTGCGCCGCCCTTCTCGTCGAACAACGGGATATGGATCAGCAGCGACCAGCGCCACGACGAGAACGTGAACGGCTCGCCTTCTACGCCGACAACACCGAAGAGCGACGGCCGCAGCGCCTCTACTGCAAGATATGCAGAACCTCCGGGCATTTGGCAAATCGATGCAAGTCCCGATCTCGCCCTCGCCAGACCAATCCGAGCAACTGGTCCGGCCGACAAGATGCACGAGGCGACGTGCGTCCAGCCCAGGGGTATCAACCCCCCGCGCGTAACCTGAACCCAGCGGTTCATCATCAGTAGCAGCAGCCGTCACCGCCTGCCACAGTACCCAACGTCATGAGCAACATGGCCATGTTAGGCGAGTCGCGTCGTCGCCGCGTGCGCTCACCATCACCTGAGCCAGCACCGCATCCCATTGGCGCGTTCTCCAACAATAACCCATTCAGTCCGCGCCACGACTTCACCGACGACGACGACCAAGACTGGAACCTTCCAGTCCCGCTGCTTGAAAGTCCCCCGCACGTACCTGATATGCGGGTGGCGCCACTCGGCTGGCTCTCGCGCGAGCAATTTCTGAAGTTCGACACACCTCGTATCGTCACGTCGCGACTGGTGCTGCTCGCACGTAACGGCAAGAAGCGCTACAACACCTGGTACCTGGACAGCTGCTGCGGCCAGCACATGGTGGGCTCGGAGCATTACATATCCAACACCTACGTCACGGTGGCCAACAACACGCGCCTGCGCGCAAGCGCGCAAGGCATCGTCGTTCTCACGGCACGGGGAAGCCGCATGCACATCACACTCAATGATGTGCTCATCATCCAGAACCTGCGCTTCAACCTGCTTTCCATTGTCCAACTAATGGATTGCGGCATTGACCTCAGCACGGACCGCGCGACACGCGACATCATGCTGCACTATGAATCGAAGACCTTCCCCCGCAGGCAGATCGGACGAGCGCACTCCGAAAATGGAGTGTATATTTTGGATTTCGACATTCCCGACTGCAGCGGCGACTCGCACGAGTTAATCGACCTCGTGCCACTGCGCTTCGAACACATCCACCGCAGGGACTGGAAGCACCCTGACGGAAGACCGTGGGTGCCGCATCACCCCCACCCACGCGAAGTGGCGCTGCACGACCCTGACCCAGACGGCATCTGCAGGGACTGCCACACGCCAATGGAGTCAACCAGCACGATTGCCAGCCGTGGACTTGCCGCCATTGCCGAAGCGGAGCGCCATGCGGCGCCAGAGGAAGAGATGTCACAACTAGAGCTCAAAGTTACCACGCGCAGCGTTTTCGGCACGCCAGAACACCCTCTGCTCGGGCCTCCCTCACAGCACCTCCAACGCATGCTGCGCGGCACTGGCGTGGGCACCTTCGATGCAAACAACGTGCTGCGACCATACACCAGGGAGAAGTTTCTTGAGATCTACTCCCATCAGCGCGATTCCACGAAGAAGCTTAATGTGGAGCAAGAAGAAGAACTGGTGCACCGCGAAGCTGAGGAGCTTCGCCGACAAAGCCTCGCCGAAGCACACGGGACATTCGCTTGCGGCGCATGGGAGCCGAAGAAGAAGAGAGCGCCTCCAATGAAGGGGGGTGGGGAAGCGCTGCGGATGGGGAACAAGTGACATCGGCGGATGGGGCAACACCGGCGGCACCTGGGCAACCGCGAGCGGCGGATGGGGCGTAGCAACTGGCGACGTCGGCAGCAGCTGGGGTGCTTCCCACGAAGAACAAAAAGGGGGAGAAGAAGCTGAGGCAACACCTGCAGTTGTCCTTCTTGGTCCCCCCTCACGCCGTGCTCCACCCGCATTACCTCCTCACGATGTTCCGCCGCACCGCGATACCTGGGACACCATCGACTGGGGTAATGAACCATCAACTCCACGCCGCACCGTCTACGGACCTGCTCCCGAACCGCGCGAGCCTACCTTCGTCCCAGGAATTATCCCTGGGGCCAACATCTTTTCTTTGAAGTCCGCGACAAAGAGTTGCTGGCGCTCATGCTTACCACCGGCAACGACGAAGATGAAGCAGCAGAAGAAGCAGTAGCAGAACCCGCCCTAGTACCTGATGAAGACCCTGAGGAGGCTCGTGCGCGCTACATGCGCACCTCAGGATTTCGCGCCGACGATGCGTTCTGGCACCAGCGTCTCGGCCACCCGTCACGCGCGACGCTGAAAAACTCAATTGACGCAGGAGTTTTTGTTCTTGGCGCACTCCTGTGCCCCGGCGGCACCGAAGTGAGAGGCGCGACACATCCGCGCAATTGCACCGTCTGCCCCGAAGCCACGCTAAGCCACCAGCCGTTCCCGCTGCTCGAGCCCGGGACGAATCGCTATCCCAAGCTACACAGGTGTACAGCGACTTAGGACACTGCGGAGTCAACGACGAGCTGTATACGCTCACCTTCATCGACGCAGGGATGCGCAACGTGTGGGTCGTGAACGTTGAAGCACGCAGCAGAGCATACAAAGTCTTTCGCCTCTGGCTGGCGCACGCGCAGCGGCAATCTGGGGAGAAACTGAAGATCTGGCAGTCGGACGGCGCAGCAGAGTTCAGGAGTAAAGGGTTGCAGGATTTCCTGGCGCAAAAGGGGATCGAGCATCACATTTCTCTCCCCTACGCGCACCAGCAACAGAGCGTAGCCGAGCGGACGAACCGCATGCTTATGACGAAGGTGCGGGCACTGATGAAGCAGTCGAAGTTGCCACTGATCTACTGGACCTACGCGATGCACCACGCTGTGCGGGTGCACAACCTACTGTCGACCACTGCCATCACCGGCAATCTGTCTCCCCATGTAAAATGGACCGGGACCAAGGGCGACACCTCCAAGCTCCGTGTGTGGGGGTGCATGGTGCAGTACCGCCAGCCGACATCAACCATCGACAAATTCGCCAACTGCGCGCGATGGGGCATTCACCTCGGCATCAACCACGAACACCAAGGCATGGATCGTGCTGGACCTGCTCAGCCAGAAGACCACCTATGCCCGTGACGTCATTTTCTATGAAC